GCCCTCTGGCCCCAACGGGCCACCGATTTCTCTGAGCCATTTTAAGGCAGTCTCGTTTCTCGGGGAAAAAATCACGCCTACAGGCCCCCCCCCCCAAACTCTCTCCTCCCTTCTGGGTTTCTCAAACCAACCTGTACGTGGAGGTTTTGAGCATAGCTGGGAAGTGCCCTGGCTGGTGGCACACCTGGGGACGTGCCTCGTGGCTCTCAGGTCACTCTGATCCTTAGTTTCGAACTGAAGAGGTGCTTGAAGCAACACAAGGCTCTTCGCTCCCCCCCCTTGTGACTAAAGGATTCGGGGTGAGCACCCACGTGTGGATCCAGCAAAGAGCAGCGTGTGTCCTCCCACTCAGAAACCCAAGCACTTTGTTACTGGTATTTTCAGTTTGTGTATTGCTGTTTTGAAATATTAGGGTTGAGAGTGGGGAAAAAAAAAAAAAAAAGAGAATCCCACACGGCAATAATTTCTCATTTCCAAGTGCCTGAGGTCCTACGGATGAGGTAAAGACCTGGGAGTCAAAACGTCTGGGCAAGCAAATGCCAAATCTCCAAATTTTGTTGAATAGGGTAAAAAAAATACCATCTTGCATGTCATTAACTGCTAAAAAACCAATCAAACAACAACAACAAAAAAGAGTAGGACACCCGCTCCCACTGCTGTCTTCCCAGCTATCACGAGGGCTCCAGCAGCGGAGACACAGATGCCTTCCCCACGATTTTTTCTCCCCAAAGTTTTAGAAGGAGTTACCTTGAATTCCTCCAGCGGATCCAACGGCTGGGCCGGCCAGGAAAGCAGCATTTGCTCCTGCAGGCGGGTTCAGTACATCAGCAGGGAAGGGGAAAACAGCCTTTGCTGAGCCTGGCAGCTTCCTCATTCTTTCACAGGAGGCCCGGCGGCTGCGGGCTGCCCCGGCTTTATGAAATCGCTGCCTTTTGTCCAGCCTTCAACGCAAACAGGCCAGGGGAGATAAGATCTGATCATCGCAGCGCTCGTCCTTTGTGCTTCAAGCCAGCCTGGGCTGCTACGGGTGGTAAAACACTCCCGCACGGGCCTCATTTAAAAGCAAAGAGAAGATAAAAAAGGGAAAAACAAAAGCATTAAAAAGCTGCTCGCCCTTCCAGCGAGCCGGTTAGTCACAGGGAGCGTTTCCATCAGGTTACAGACTGATGATATTTTGCTGTTTCAGCAGGGTGAGGGGGGGGGAGTATCGCAAATTTAGACCGTATTAGCACATAGACCATCAAAGCTTGATTATGACATCTTGTTATAAAGAATAATAAATACATTTCCTGCGGCTCAGGAGACACACCAGCTTACAGGGGCAGCGTGGGCTGACAATCTCGCCTACCTAATGTAACCCGGCTGGCCAAGATAACATCTGCCCCTGGAACAAGAGGTTAGATTTCGTGAGGCGTTTGTACCAAAGGAAGACAACAGTCCTCTTCCTGCAGCAGCCGCGATTTGCAGCGTTGATGTTTCCCGGTGTATCTTTTCCTACAGCTGTGGATGGGTGGTTAAACAACGCGTTTGTCTCGCTGCTTGTCAGCTAGAGAGAGGTTTCCATTCCACAAGCGAACCCGTTTTCCCTTCCTGCAAGCCCATCTGACGCTTAGGGAAGGCTACGGATGAAGCGCCGGTCCCTTCCGTAAGGCCCATCGCACCTTCCCAGGGCCCAGCAGGGAGCCAAACCCAACTGCTGGCTTCCAACCTTCGGCTCCTCCTCGGACAGGGAGCTGAACCTCGGGGCCTCGTGGCGGGGCGGAAGCTGAACTGCAGGGAACTCCACAGCGGGGCCCAACGGGAGGCAGCCTGGTTCTGTTCGCCGCTCCAGGCGGGGATTTGAGCCTTACCCCAGACTTGAGCTTATTTAAACAGAGGCAGAAGCAGACCAAGAGGTTTTGACAATCCCTCACGTTTGAAAAGGAGAGCACTAAGCAAAAAGCAGGAACTTGGAAAGAGGTGGGTCATTTGGTGGACCATGTAAAAACATTTTTGGGTAGGAAGAGCAGGAAATCTAGAGAAACTGCTGCAGGTTGAGGCTACGTTTCAGTACGGTTTGAGCAGCGATCGTGAGGAGTGAGGCAACAAGACCTGCAAAGAACTGTACCAGTTAGATAGAAAGCTTCATTATTCTCAGGAACAAGCATTAATTAGAAAGACAGACAGAAGCTGAGCTAGACTGTATCGAGGCTCCTTGACTCTTATCGCTTGCCTTCGGCTTGGAGGGATAAAGTTTTATCCCTCCTGAAACGGATACCGTAGGAACCAGTTGAAAACGAGATCTGCTTATAAACCCCCCAAAAGTCTGCATAAAATTAATCAGGTATTTCACTCAACAGACACCAAACTGGTTTAGAACTGTCATTGAAACTCCTCTGTGGGCTTCCAGGCCTTTCTACAAATCATCAGGTGGCCGGTTTGACCTTGGGTTTCACATATTCGAGCAATAACCGTGGGTGCAGGCCCAAGGAGAGCGGGAATCGCCGCAGCATTTGGGAATACTGCTTCACCACGTCCTCTGCAGCTGTGTCGTGCTAAACCACTGCAAAACAGGTGACACGTGAGCACGGAACAGGGTCCTCAGCCGTCTGCATTTTACTGTGCCGGCAGCATGGCAGAAGAAACCGTTAACCTCACATTTTATGTATTTCACCTTAAAATTTCTCGTCTGAGGACGAGACTGATTGGTTTTGATTTTTTTTTTGGAAAGGTGTTTCCATAAAGCACGACAAAGCAATCTCTCTAAAGATCAGAAAAGCTCAGTTAAAACTTCGCAATACGAACGGTCGGGCCAAGCAGAAGTAGTTCTGGTTTCGAAGGAACAGGAACGTTCACTACCACCGGGAAGGCGCCCACGAGGACAGCTGTAACTGACAGTTTGCAGCTTTTCCAAGGAATCTCACCAAAAAAAAAAAAAAATAAGGATTCAGCGGCTTACGGACACATCACTGCAATGTGACATGCCACTCCTTTTTTAATCAGTCAGCTTTCCACGCAAGGTACTGCATATTATTCTATTTACATTCAAAAATAGCGTTTTTTTTTGGTTTTTTGGGGTTTTTTTTGTCTCTTCAGTACACAATGGGAATGCCCGTAAATTAGTCAGTAGAAACCCCTCTAACACAGGTGGAGGACAGCTTTGTTGATCTCTGGGTTTGTCCAGTCGTTCCGGATATCATCCAGGTGATTATCAAAATCTACCAGCGTCTCGTAGGACTTGCTGTCCAAGAGAGAGGCAGCGATTCTCTGGGCTTCGATCCAATCTTCACAAAAATCACTAGGACACAAAATAACCAGGAATAAATAGGAATCACAAAGAAAATCTCCACCGCCTCTGGAAATGAAGCCACGCTCTCTGCAGCGTCACGCCGCCGCCCGGCTGTTCTCTCTGACGACAGGAATAAACAGCTTTAAAAATCGCTGTCAGCTACACCCGCTGCCCTGTGTCACTCCTCCCCACCAGAGCTTTGCCCTCAACCAGGCGACCTGTTTTTCCTGAAGACCCAGACGCAAATAAACTCCGAAGTTTACTCACACGTGCGGGTCTTTGCACCTCCACTTGTTCTCATGCAGCTCGTACACGTGAATGGCGGGCTCGACGCACTCCATCGTAAACCTGGCGTTGTCAACCTGGTTGCACGACAGAAAAACACCACCTCAGGCTCCTCCTCCAGACCCCCAAGTCTCCTCCAGACCCCAAGTAAAGAGCCGAAATAAAAAACAAAGCCAGCTTTCACAAACAGGGCGCCTCACACGGGACTCGCCCGCCGTTCTCCCTTCACACGAGCCAAATTTTACACGGTCGAAGCTTCACCGCAAGGAGGCAAAGCGCCGTTGGGTTCATAAAAGACGAGAGCTTGGGTCAGAGGAGGGGGTCTGAAGCCGTGAATGCGCTGCCCTCGCTCGAGCCTCGCCAGCAGAGGAGCCCCCTGCAGCTTTTGGGAGGGCAGAGCGCTAAGTGCGGGCTCTCCGCAGGCCGACTGAGAACTTCCCCGGCTACAGGTCATCGCGTCTCTTCCCCAGAGCGTTGGGAGGGAAAGAGAAACCGGCTGCCAAAGGGCGCAGAGACCGGCCAGTCCAGCGCCACAGTCGTAATATCCACAATACAGAAAGAAAAGGGGGGGGGGAAATGGAGTAATTTACCATTATGAGCGCTGTATCGTTAAAGCCCTCTGCAATTCTGGAGGCCACCTTCTCCGCCACCTGGGTGGGACTGCAGCAGGAGGTAAAAAGTAACCCCGTTAGAGCAACCACGACGCTTCAGGTGAAACCAGCAGGAAACTGGCTTGAAGAGAGGGGAAAACTACAAACAGGACCACGCTCTCAGGCGGATGCCACCCTCGAGGGAAGCCAGAAGGCCAAGAAAAGCCCAGCTCCTCCCTTCAGCGCAAGAGCTGGAGCTCAGCTGCGCTCAGGCAACGGCCAAAATGCTCCCTGACGTGGAATCCACGTCTCGCAGCCTCCCACCTCCTCCCACCAGACCAAAGACCGCAGCCTCCAGGTGTTGGAAAAAGAAACCCGAGTTCGCTTCCCCCCTAATCTGCATCTGAACCCACTCGCTGCCCAGCTTCTCTATCAGATAATCTTTTAAAGGGAAACCTTCACTGTGCTTCAAAGATGACAATCTCTACGTGATGCCTTCAGAAATGGAGTTTAAAAACCCACCCAAGCCGGCGAAACTCTTTCAGACCTCAAACCGAATAGACAAACTGTGTCTTCTCCTTAAAAAAGGGCTCCAGCAGGTTTATTTCCCTTGTAAGGCAGGGACAAATAACGCCCTTATCCCTGTTGAGATACCTTAGCAGTCACAAGGGTTACCTAAAAAAGATACCGAAGGATATCCACGGACAAAACCAGCTGGGATACAGGATAATGCTTCAAACAAACCCTTTGTATTTATTTCAAACGCACGTATGACGTACTCTCGTTAGTGCTGACACTGGATTTGCCTAACAGATACAGGGGAAAATATTTGATACACATCTCTAAACCCATGTCGTGGCAGCACAGGAAAGCCCCTTTATTGCTTACTGAGTACGTTGAGTTAGCCAGCAGGGAAGAAAAAATGACTAATCCTGGGGAAAACGAGTGAAAAAGAGATATTTCTGCTCGCCTGACATCGTCTTCCATCTCAAAAGCGTCCCTTTGCCACGCACCAAAACGCTTCAGTGAAACTCGGGAGACAATTAAGCAGTTTAGTAAGAATTAGGTCACTCCTGAAAGATTTTCCAAAAGATACTCGGAGTCATTCAAGCCTACAAGATACGCGCTGCGCCGCAAAAATAGCGGATTTTGGCGATTTCCCTGACAACTGTAATTAAACTGGTTGGCAGCCGTTCAAGGGCTGGCCTTTGAGAGGATCCACTAAAGTGAAGCGGTTCTGGAAAGACTGGGGTTTCTGCACCTGAACAAAGGCCGTATCCACCAGCGCCACGAAGACAATGTGAAACCAGACGCCAGTTGTCAAAGTGAATCAACACGCCTGATTTATGGGGATGATTTCTGCTGGCAGAGCGCAAAGTACCACAGGAAAGAGCAAACAGAAGGAAATATTGCACCAACACACCTGGCATCTTTCACGCGTTCGTTTGCCTGGTAATATCCAGCTATCACGTAGCTATTCTCTTTGCACCAAGAGTCAATCTGAAAAAGGAATTGGAACAATTAAACCCAGGGGAAAAAAAAAAAAAGAAAAAGAAAAAAGAAAAAAAAAAAAACAACCCAACACCGAGGAAATCTCGTGTCTGTCCTGCAAATAAAACAGCAATCAAAGCACTACGGTATCTCTGCCAACTGCTGCTTTAAATATACACATATTTATCTATATTTACGGGCGCGCTCGCACACAGAGTTGGGCTGGTTTAACTAGAACAGAGAAAAACCAAGCTGAGGATTTGGAGAATGAGGGAAGCCATTAACCAAAAGAGCAAGAAGTGACCTCAGTCAAAGCCTGGCCTAAATTTGACTGACAGGACTAGCAAAGAGCTTCAGCAACGCTGAAGGGAGAGGAGCCTCGGTCCGTTTGTGGCTTTTTTCCGCCAGCGTTCACCCGACCGAGACACTTTACCAAACACCCGCCGTGGGGACGTGTGTCTGTCCCGGCATTGCAAAAAAAAAGAGCGTGTGGGTTTTAGTGCTAAAGTCCCATTTCCAGGCTAAAGCACCATTTCCAGGCTAAAGCACAACCTAAGCATTTTTCACCTTAATTAGCAAATAAAGCTCAAAGCAAAGGCCAGGCAGACAAAGCCCGTCCCGCTTCTCCTTTTAGCAACCCGCCCTGGGACAAAAAGGCTTTTGTGATAAAATTCTTTTATCTTTGAGAGTTCCCCTGCAAGGGTAACTATCCACTGGGGTAACTTCTCAAACCACGTGGGTGGATTCTCCCGTTTTCTCTTTGAAATCTGTCAATTAAAACTGCTTTTCTTAAAAAAAAAAAAAAGCCTCTCCAGCTCGATGACAAGAGAAGGGCTGGATGAAAGAACTATGGGGGGAAATTCTCTCATCTCTGTTACAGACGTGGTCAGCCCAGGCAGCTCCTCCTTGTTTAACACCTGTATGTAAATCAGTACATGTACAGATTTCTTTGCATCGATACACACAACTTTTGAGGACTACAGAAGTTTATGGAAGTGTTGGGGTTTTTCTTTTCAGGGCAGTTCCAGCGTGCACACGCTGTCCTTTCTGCTTTACGCCGGATCCGAGTTCCTCCTGCTGAGCCTGCCTTGCTTTGAACGTACAGCTACACGAGATGTTTCTCCTTATAATTGAGGAGATCAAGCCAGCGTGATACAGATCCCTGAAAGACAGAGGTGGAGAAAGCAGCTAGAACGTTCCTTCGCAGTCCCTAGAGAGCAAGCATCAAAAACCTCAACGGCTGCATTAAGAGGGAGTCCAAAAATACATCTGCTGCTGACCTGTCGCGTCCTCTAAGTCAAACCAATCTCATTTTTAGCAATAATTATGGCATTAGACTGCATAAACAAAAAAAAAATAAGAAAGCCATGTCAATAATCCCTCCTTTACAAGGGATGACACGGATTTATGTGATAAAAAAAAAAAAAGCCTGTGTAGCCCTGCTATAGCTGAGGGCCAACTGCTGTTTCAATTACAAACCCATTTCCAGGGCTTACGACGAGGGTTTTAATTGTCAGTGGCTTGAAAGCTTGGCATTAAAGCCAGAAGCCCAGCTACTACGATTAATAATAATTTAAAAAAAAAAAAAAAGTCTTCTCTATTTAAAAATCAAAACCCTGAGTTTTAAATCCATTTTTGTCGCGTACTGAAAACAGTCTTCGAAAAAAAAAAGGGGGAAAGTACGATTTTTAAGTTCTCGCTTCCCCAAGTGGTAATTAAAACCTGCTTCCATCGGAAAAAAAGGGAAAAAAAAAGATATCTTTTTGGAATTAAAGCTGTTTCCAGCTGCAATTTCACTCTCTGACCACAGGCAGCCTCAGTGTCAATTAGCCCCCGGTTGGTTTTAGTCCCGTCTAGCCCTGACAAGCGCCAGCCAACGGGGGGGGGGGGGGCGACAAACCGTGTCTCGCTTCCACACGGTGCCCGTCACCCCTGAAAACCCAAAAATGGCCCATTCCCCTGATCTGCTGCGTCGGCAGGGGGTTTGGAAGAGCCCTGGGGAGGAGAAAGGCTGCAACCTGCTGCCACCTGACCACTGGCCCAGGCTGGAAGTGCTGCTGGGTTGGGTTGTTGGTTTGTTTTGGGGTTTTTTTTTGAGAAGATGCGGTTGCAAAACCACATCAATGAGCTGAGAAATCCAAAGGCATAAACCCCCGCCGTGTGAAACTGAATTCATTTTCTCTTTAATGACTCCGTTTTCGAGCGGGACTCCAAACTGACAAGCCAAAGTGCAAATGAAACGCTCTCTCCTCCAGAGCTACACCCCTTCGAGCGCTCCTGTGCGATTAATAAACCCCAAAACGTTGGTTCCTTGTGCCCAGGCGGCTGCTAAAGCCGTTTTTAGAAGTTACCTCAGGGAGAAGCCCCGTTTGAAAGTGCCTCCCCCTGTTTCCAGGCTCCAACTGGAGACTGCTGCTCCCCTTTCACACTCTGGGACGACCCAGGGCAGAGAAGAGGAGCTGAAACTCGTGGGGTTGGTGCTCGAAACCCCTCACACGTACCACCAGGCCTCAGGCTTGGCCCAGAATCAGCAGTGATTGGGCTGGGAGAGCAGCAGATCCCCTCAAAACCCACCAAAGCTTCGAAATCCTTTAGAAACAGAGGCGCTTCGCTACAAAAATCGACTTCCAACCACGCTGCCCTCGCTGATTTACTCAGGAACCACGTGCTGCGCCGCACGGAAGGGGCGAGAGCGCCCTCCTTGTCCACCTGACAGCAATAAAATCCGATTTTCAGAGCCGCTGGGCCAGCATTTATGGACGCCTTTGCCTTTGTTTCCACAAAGAACAGGAGCAAAAGGCCTCGGGCTCTTGCCCAGCGCTGTGTTTTGAAGCTGCTGAGTATCTCAGGCGCGACTGCGCGCCACGACGCGATGTCACGAGTCCTCACTACGGTGGGGAACGCCAGGGGTTCCCGACCTGTAACTCTCTGTATCAAAACCCAAGAGCAAATGCGTAAGACACAGCCATTTCCTTGGTCCCATAAGGATTTGCTCGCTGTGGGTGTGGTAAGATACGTCAGATGTTGCAAGAAATGGGATTTCTTTCCTAATAATCTGATCCCGTAGCAAGAAAACTACACGGAAGGCCTGAAGTTCATGAAAACTCACCGCCAGCGACCCTGCAGAAGGACACCTAACCCTGAGTTAACAACAAACCCTACCCATACTTTAAAGGCATCATACAGGTTATTCTGTGCTTCACCAGCAACTTCCACTTGCTCATTCCCAGAAGAAAACCACACTACCCTCGCTCAAAAAAAGGTAAAGACAAGCCCTGCTTACGTCACAGCAGTTATCAGCAGCATTATGACATCTTCCCAAGCAGGAACGTGAGGAAAACTGTACACAGGTACCGACTGCGCCAGCAGGACATGTCTCTGTGTCCTTCCTACGCTGTTCCACTGGGGTAAATATATTTAAGACTGATAGATTTTGGGTGCTCCACAGCAGCACAGCAAACCTAAAGGGCCAGGGCTCAGGCTGGGCCCCCCCATCCCATCCCTCTGGCTGCATTTCATCCTGTCCAGGCTTCAGGAGGATCCCAACATTCCCATGGGGTCGCATCGAGTGGAGAAACAAAAAGGAATTTATTCACAAAGAAATATCTCTGGAGGAAGCAACCTACTAAAGGGAAGGGAATGTTTAGGCCAAGAAGCCTGGAAGCGGCAGAAATTGGCTATTTTCACAGGTATCAAAAAAAGGGAGGGATTTTCT